GTGTCGACCACATCAACCACAGTCGGGCGATAGAGCAAGCGAGCAACCAAAAGCCGCGCAAGTGTCGACTTGGGTTCCCATTCCAGCTGAATTGAAGACATCAGACATCCCGCGACGCATCTTCAAGCCCAGTCGTCCGATTTTCTGGTTCCTTACTCTTGTCTCCAGTCCGACGAGGCGGACTCCCTGTCAATGCTTCCCGTCTAACCGAACAGCAAGACTCCAACGATGGTGTGTGGTGTGTGGTCCTTCCCGCATCTTAACTTGAGACAGGTTGGGGGGCAGTAAGAGACAAGAAAAAACAACCAATGGATGCACAAGGCGTCCGGGATGAGATTGGAGAATCGATAGGTGGGCTCACTTCACCGAGTGTCGCCGGCCAGCTCGGTGTGGCTGGACCATCTTTTCTTCTTTGTCGATTCTCTCTTTCGGGGCGTGAAGCAGACGCTTGGTGGACGGGAGGATGGTCCTCGCCTCGGTCCTTGACGAATCGCAGCTTCGTCGCAAAATACCGTTCCCCCCCAAAAAGACCATACCAACAAGGGGAAAATGAAAAAGCAAAGGGACCAAAGCTGGATTTTAAAGGACAAAGCCAAGACAGGATCGGGCCGCAGGTGGGCAGCGAGCCGCCGCCGCCGTCGCCGCCGTCCCCTGCTGGTTGCGCTCTTTTAATCAACTGCTTGCTTGCTTGCTTGTTTGTGGTGGTTCCGTGTGTGTGCGGCGCATACATTACCAGATCTCGGGGTAGAGAGCCCGCTCCAGCCGGCCGGACCTTTTGGCGCAACTGGGAATGGCGTCGAACCGTTTGGTGTTGGTGCCGGTGCGGGTTCGTTTTTGCTTCTCTCCCGTCTGGTGTCTCTTGATGGGATAAAAGGGGGCACTTGGGGGCGGCTCGGACTGCAGAACGGCCCCCTCCCCCCCATAGGTTTTGCGATGCTGATACGATCCGATGTTAGTGTCATCGACGGCCGTTGGCATTATTGCCCGACTAGTGTAATGTGAGTACAAAGTCTCTTAGTCTAGTGTGTGTGTGTGTGTGTTACTATGTATACCTATCCGTAATAAAAAGAGCTGAGAGGAAGAGAGGGAAACAGAGAATGCGAAACTGAGAGACTGAGAGTTGGTGTGTGTGCTCGCCGAGCCTGTCTGCTCACACCCCCCGGCCGCCGACCGTCCACACATGAATCGTCCAGTCCAGGTCCATTCTTGGTTCCCGATGGTCCCTGTCGAGAAGCTGAGGCCAAGTTTGGATTTTCTGTCGCTACGCGCGCTTGCCGCACCCAAAATTCGATTCACGCTTTAACCCCCATTTAATATTACCCATCCAAACCAAAACGGGCAGCCCTAACAGTAGGTAATCTTGTCTTGTTTCCTAAAGTTTCCCGCCGTCTCTTTCTCTCTTGATTGAGTCTTGCGCCCCTCTCACCCCCAGTTCCCAGTTCCCTTGCGACACCAACGCCGCGGCAGACATCGGTGCCTGCATCTATACAGTCGTACATGACGCCATGCACATCGTGCATCCACTGATCTCCTCTAGTTCCCAGTTCGGGATTGGTAGCAGCAGGACCGTGGGACGGGGCACGGAGACGGGAATACCAGATATCACCTTGGTCCCCAGAAGGCCACACGGCCAAATCTCCCGTTCTGGTTTTACCTTTTTCTCAACAGGCTCGAAAGGCCCCTGCAAAGCGGCAAGCCTGGCGGGGTGGGAAGAAGAATAGTTGAAGGGTTCAAATGTTCTGTTGTCGTGGCACTCCGAGAGCCGTGATTTGCTGGCAAAGTCAACACCACTCGCAGCCAGAGTCAAGCCAATTTGCGAGACATGGCACTGCATACATAGCACCAGATCATATGCCCCGTCCTTTCCCCCCCGGTTCCGGTTCTGCTTTGGTTTGGTTAGGTCGAATTCGCGTCTCGTCTGGTCTGGCCGGCCATAGTATGGAGCATGGAACCGTTTGGCATGGGGGCCCGTATGGGCAAAATAACGAAAAAGTATGGCACGGCATCGCATGGCATGGTTCGGCGGCGGCCACCACATACTTTATGATCCAAGGAACGGCTAGGCCTGGAAGTATCGCCTCGAAAATATGACAGAAGTTGGTGAATGGTCACGAGCCGGCCCCTGGATCCCTTCCTCATCGCTCAAACGGGCATCTTGCAGCGGAACAGCCCTGGATGTCGAATACACACCCTAATGCTTCTAGCCTCTGACCCCGCAAGTCGCCGCTGGCGGCATTCTGCTCTCTTCGTCTCTGAGGTCATGGACTGCTCTCACCCACACCACCCTCTCGACAAGTGTCGACATGGAGTGTGAGAGGAGTGGGAGGGTCCTCCGTCTCCGTCTCCCGGCAATGCACATGCTACAACCATGGGATTGCTGGAGCTATGTGATTCTATCCCCCGGCCGGGCCCCTCCCCTCCATCTCATCACCTCCCCTCAGCCAGCCATATCCATAATCCATACCATACGCATCCATGGTCCAGCACCTGGGCCCTTGTTGGTCTTGACATACTTCCCAGCAAAGCAGATCCCAACAAGCTAAAGTAGAGTTGGACCGACAGGACCGGCCGGCCGGCAGAAGGGCCGCATCTCTTACTTCCTACTCCCCCGTCCCACTCTTCTCCATCCGTACCTATCTCTGAGCTCTTCTTCTGTGCGTCTCGTGTTTCTCTCTCACTCTCTCGCTTGCCCCCTTCTAGTCCCCTTCTTTTACTGCTTTTGCTGCCCGGTGGTACGACGGATCGACTGGCAACTCGTCCACGTACGCCTCTACGGATACATCCATCCATCCACCTTGGCCTTCGCCTTGCCGTCAATAACCTGACCTGCAGGCCCGGCCACCGCACCCGCATCCCCCGTCCCATTCATTCCCCCTTCTCTCCTCGGACACGGCCGACCTCCAATCAACCTACCCACCACCCCCTTGAAGACTCACTTTGTTGCTAATGCATCCGTGAGCTGACACATCCGGGGAAGGGCTTCCGGCAACAGAACCCAGAACCCAGAAATACCCCCCCCTTCCGAGGCCGTAGAGAGCCTCAATGAACCTTTTTCTTAAACCATCGACCCAAACGGCGTCGTCTCCCCGTCGTTCACGGTCCCCGTCCGTCCGTACGCCGCCCGCTATCATCCCGGCAATGGCTTTCGCATCGTCGCCCGTTGACTCGCCGTCGTCCTCCTTCTTCGCCGCCGCCGCTGCCGCCCCGGATCTCGACGGCCTCGCCCAGGCGCCAGCGTCCGTCGCTCGCGCCATCCTCGTGGCTCTCTGCGATGACCGACGGGTTCGAGCCCAGGCGTTGAGGCAGCTTGAGCGGCTGCTGCGCTTTGAGGCCGATGTCCGCGAGGAAGAGGAGGAGGAAGGTGTCAAGAGGAGCCCCAATTCCGTCTCAAGTCCATCAAATCCAAAAAAGAGAAAGGCAACCGGCGAGCCCAAGATCTGTGTTCAGTGCGACGGCATCTTCACGGCCGACGAGAACAGCTTTGGTTCATGTTGGTACCACTCAGGTAAGCAAGCAAGCAAGCAGAGCGTAGAAACCCAGCAACAGCAGCGGGAGCAGAAGCAACGAGAGACTGGTAGAGCCTCTTCATCTCCTTCCAACTCTATTGTTGCCTCATTTCCATGCCGTGCATCTTCTTTTCCCAGCAGAAGTACTACGCTGTACAAGCTGTCAGAAGGGTATCTTATTCTCGTGGTTGAAGGGTCATACTGACTCGTGCACCCACCCCTCTGTTTAGGCGAGCTGGAGCTTTGGGATGAGACGCAAATACCACCAACAATCTGGGACGACGTATCGTCAGACGAGCTGGACACAGATTCCAATCGCCTAGAGTATCCCGCAGCGTTCCGATGGTGCTGCTGCCAGAGGCTAGGCGACAGGCAAGGCTGCGTGCGCGGCACACACGAAGCCAACCCGGATAGGAGCAAAAAGGGCCGCGGCAACGAGCTGTCCGATCTTGAAGACGATCCGCTGGAGCTTGACGACGCCTCATCGCAGGAGTTGGGACCGCCGCCGCATCAGCAGCACTACACGATCTCGAGCTCACCGACGGACGCTGGCCACAAGGCGACGACGGCAACGATGACTGTGAGAACGGCAACCTCGCTGACGACAACGCACCATCACCACCAACAGCAATGACGTTCGAAAAAGGTTTACTTGGATTGTTTATTATTTTAAGGACGTGTTTATGGTCCATGTCAGAAACGAACTCGCTTCCTGGGTTCCCCTCCTTTCGGCCTTCCGGACGAGACTGGTTTTGGTAGACCGGTCAAGGAAATGATTACGGTTTCGGTCAATCGGATGGGCTCCCGGCCTCCCGACCGATGGTGGTCGGTCAACCGGTCGACAAGGCCACGCGAGATTGAAATGGATTTTTTTAAGGTGCTGGCAGGGCTGTGAACAGACGCGAAGGTAGTCAAAGCGGCAATCGGGCACAAGTTCAAAAAAACCGGAGCAGAGCGGAGCGAAGCAAAGCAAAGCATTTTCCTGGGAGAAGGGGGAGGCATAGCATTTGGCAAGTTTGATACAACAAGATATTTGATGGATGAAGCGAGCAAGCAACATTGAAATTGGTCGGACAAGAAATTGGAGGGGGCGACACTACTGTACTTTGGGGGCAGCTTTTACGCCCAACCGACCACTTTGTGCCTGACTTATTGGCCAGGCTGGCATCTCATTGCCTCGCATGAGGGGATCCTCGTACATCAAAGACATCACGAAATAATGGAGGCAGAACGTAAGAGCATATCATTTGTATTTCAGTGGTGGAAGAATCAATGAATCGAGGGCCACTAGGGGAAGAAAGGGGGCAGCAAAAAGAACGGGGTGAAGATAGCCCACTGCACGCAGAGAACGTCGATTTAGACAGACGAACGGGGCGAGCCCAAGTTTGCCAGCGATGCAATTTACCTTACTTCTCGTTTTCACGAGCCAAATTACAAAATCATCCGTGACATGTACTGATCATTGATGAGGTGAGAAAAACAGCGCGCGGCCCAATGAAGGCAGCATTCCCAGGATCGAGATGGCTCGCATTTTCGCCTCATAGGACTGGCGGTGGCGGAATTCGCATGGTTCGCCGACGACGACAACGATGGGGTGGTGAGACGAACCGGAAGCGTCCTGCCCAGAGCGGTCCGATATCATCTGCAGCAAGCGCTCAAATCTGCAAGGGACACCAGAAGCGGCCTAGCAATTCCGCTCCAGAGAATATAAAGCTTGCCAGCCAGCAACGCAAGTACGGAGTACACACGCCAGACCGAATGAACCAGTAGGCTCGCTCCCGGTGGTCGCACAGGAATTATGTCCCCCCAAACCCGGACCAAACTCCAGAGAGGGTCGAGAGAGTGTGTGTGGCTCTTGGGGAACACAAGACGCACCACCTACAGGCTACTTGCCTTTCGTCAGCTAGCCAGCCGCTGGACCGTCTCTGGGGCCATGGGTAAATGCCCTGTACTCTGGACTCTAGAGACTGAAGAGCCGTAAGCTTGCGGTGCCACAGCAGGGCTTTGTGTGCGAGGAATCCAATGAGGCCACCTGGCGAGCAGGGATGACCCTTACCATCCGAGATTCCCCGGCAAACCCTGATCTACGGGAGGCCGGGGAGGGGGGCACGGGGGGAAGACGGGTACGGGTAAAAGAAACGGATGTCTGTGGCAGTTGAGTGAAACCCCCCGGCCGTTCAATTCTGATAGACAAGAATGAACATGATTCCTGAAAGGAGAGAAGTGACCCTGGTGAACCCTTTCGGAAACTGGTTTGCATCCCCGTCATTCCGGGTTGGGGTGAGTAGTTGTGGGACTCCACGGAGTACACTAAGTGGGCGCGGTCTAGATGGCACTTCTAGAGGGTACGCTGTTAGTTGCTAACGTAGAAGCCCCTCGAATGTCCACGAAAGGTAAAGCTTGCGGACCATCTATAACGTCGAGCAAGTTGCTTGGAATTTGATTAAGGTACTCACATTTCAGATCTCATATTTCCTCCGCGCTTACTCGGATAAGCTCAACTACCAATTCCAACTACTTTACTCTACTCATCTACTAAGCCCAAGAGACCGGCGTACGGAGTAAAGTACCAAGCCAAACACCAATTTACCCCCGTTAAAGTCCGACATCGCAAAACACTTCTCTCCCGGCCCGAAGAAAACACCAAATTACCGGCGCGACACGCCAACGGCAACCAAGAAATCAATGGCTGATCAAGTAAGACAGCGTGCCGAACAGACCGCCGCCCCAAATCGGGAAACGGCGGCCATGTTGGAAGCCGTTTCGGGCACCGATGCCCGAAAAGTCTTGTTCGCACTCTGCAGGGAGGATGAGCGGGTCCGCCGGCGAGCCGTTGACCTATTGCAGAAGATGCCAAGGACGGATGTCTGCGCCAACTGTAAGGAGAACTTTGATGTCAACAGGAACGCTCCTGATGCATGTCGTTACCACCCTGGTCAGTATGATGGAATTCCACAGTCAATACCGTATTCGGAATGAGCGGGGAATGTAAAGCTTCGTGTGACTGCACGTGCTCGGCGAGTAAAGAGAGGACATTACGCTGACGTGCGATATGAGACTTTGAATTAGACGAAGACCTAGAGGTCTGGGACACGATCGACGACATTGGACAGTTCTGCGAAATGGACAGCGAAGAATATCGAGCCGATGTTCCAGAAGGCTTCAGATGGAGCTGTTGCCAACGCGTCGGCGACGTGGAAGGTTGTCAAGAGGAGCAACACGTGGCCGTATTGGAATACCCCCCTTTGACATTAGAAAGTTTCGGTGAGGGTCACCATGCGGTGGAGATTCCAGGGCAGCAAAGTCACGGCAAGCGCAAGGCTGAGGAGGATATTGTCGGCATGGCGCAAAAGACAAGGACGGGTTCTTAATTTTCGACGGATATGACCCGGTGACCCTTGTTCGCGTGCGTAGAGAATTTGAAATGCGGCTGGCTTGTCACTTGGACAGTATGCGACACATCATCTCGTTCAATATCGCCGAACATGGCAATTGCCAAGCTCTCAGCCCTTGAAGGATGCCATTCCCGCATTTCCGACCAAACAGCTGACAGCTCTTTACTACGTGGACCACCCGAAGAACTTATCACACGCAAATCCATGTGGGGATATGCCCGAGTAAAGCAGCGATGCCCTGCGCTGAGAGGCTCACATGTGAGTTGAGGGCTGTCAGAAGTCTCATAGACTGGCTGACTCGCTGGCCTGTTGGAAAGATCGCCGGCTGACAGGACTTTCGGTGTGATTCCGACATGTACTTGTGCACCTGAGAAGGGAGATGGGAAGATAAGACAGCGGAAACGAGGGGCCGGATTATAAGGCCCAAGATGACTCGAGAGCCTTAGAAAGCACCAACAAAAGTTTAAAGAGTCAAGTCTGGTAACATAAATAAGACTTGACAGAGTCTTGAGGGCACTTGGTTGAACTGGGTACCGCGAATCATTCCCTAAAATATGGATTCGGGTGGGCCTATTGCGGGCGCCTTCAAGATAGAAGTGCCCGCTGCAGAATCCACCGCAGGAAGTCAGACGGGCCAGGCCGTTCGGACTACCCCCGCAGCATTTGCAAAGTCTTACAACGTCGTGAAGCTTGATACCGGCTGATCCCCCGAGTCCAAGAAGAATTCTAGACCTTGAGATCCAAGATAGTTCAACAGAATCGTCTCAACAGTAGAGCATTTGCACGGCAAATTAGGACCTCGGATCGATCGCCGCCCACACGTCCTCGTAATTAGGCGATTGTGGAGACCATTTGATGGGTAAGAGTTCTCATTCATCCCTTCAGAGAGAGGATCTGAGACCTTCCGGATTATTCCCGAGTTTTAAACGCCCATCTATTCGAGATGGAGAATACATGTACAGAGATAGATTTCGTGCGCTTTTTGGGGGGGTTCGTTTGTTATTACTGGTTCTTCTCAAAACTTTTAAAAAGTGTATGTGTAGCTCAAGCTATCGGACCCATTGCTGAGCTCTTAGAACGTAGAAGGACGAATTCCAAAAGCCAAGACCCAACTCTAGACTCTTGTTGTCGTTGTTCACGACTAGATTTCTTCAGCTGCGCTCACCAACGTCTTTTCACGAATGAGTTTTCAAAAACTTTTCAGACTTGGCTTTAGGATCAACTCTTCAAAGGCAGGGTTGAAAGAGTTCATACCACAGCCCCTGCCACGAGGGAACTGTAGATTGACTTTGAGATGTCCTTCATGTCTAGCAGGCGGTAGAAATGTCTCGCGATTGCTTTCAGTTGGAGCAATCTGTTACTAGTCTATAGATCCATGGAATCGCATTTGAGACACTGATCCTCGTTCGAACCTTTTTTCTAATGTGTCTCATCGAGTCATCTCACAGTCAATCGACCCTAGGCCTTCAATATTTGATTTTGGAATTGTGAACACGGCTCTGTCAGCGGACAAATACAATGATCATGCAGCCTAAACCAGGGTTCTCTTGGATATCAGCTGCTATGTCTCTGAAGTAGGTTTGTCTCTATGAGACTTTCGATAGAGAACTGATGGTCTTAGCATGCCTGATCATCTCGCAGAATCGAGAGAAGCCGAACAGTCATCTGATCACGCCCAGAGTCGGTCCAACAAGCGAGAACGTCCCGAATCCACTCCTGATTCTCCCCAGCAGCCAACCCTTAAGGTGATGGGTCTCCGTTCACTCAAACACGGCTGTATCAGACTTGAACTGACAGCGAACACAGAGAATCAGAACTGAAGAGCCTAAGAAAGAGGAGTCTCCGTTGTTGTGAGCCCAGATTTCATCCAAACATCTGTGAACTCGAGAATCACACTAACATCGTTGTAAACAAAAGCCGGCTTCCGCCCGAATTACGCAACGAGATTTACCGGATCGCTTTCATCCGTTCGACCGTCACGATCACCGCTAAGGCGGTCTATGGCTATACCTGTGGCCGTTCTAGATTCCGCTGGAAGCGCAAGAATGTGCGACATCACGATTCATGGAGAACAACCGAGTACTTGCCGGTTGCCTTTCTCAGAGCCTGCAAGCAAGTTCATGCCGAAGCGCGGGCGATTCTGTACACCAACTACTTCGATGTGCAAGATATGGAGACACTCGTCATTTGGTTGAAAGACTTGGGGACCAATACTGCCTGCCTACGAACCATTGTACTCCAGACCGAGCCTCAGGGATGGTTGCCGTCATCAACTTCAAGCAGATACAGGACTCAGCAGACCCGTTATCGAGAACTGTGTCGTCGGGCTGCGAGGATGTTAGCTACTGCCGAAAATCTCCAGACTCTGCGGATGCAGTTTTTTTACAATCTTACATGTATGATTGCTGGCCCGGCTCCGAGGGGAACTCTCAAGCGACCTGGACCTGTTTCTGGCTGGATCGGCATCGCGCGTCGGGTTGCGGAGGTATTGTACCATGATTTTCGGTCGGTGTACTCTAAAGGTCTGTCCCGTGGCTACAGTCCGGAAAGGCTGTGTCATATTTTACAAGTTAGCCGGAATAACTGGTGGTGCTATCGGCACGCATCGAGTCCGCAGAAACTTAATGCCAAAGAGGCAAGAGAGGCTGAAGAGGAGGTTATAGAACATCTGAGGCTGCTGCTGAGGAGAAACCTCGAAACTCGCCTGGGATATCGAGCTTGAAGAAGATTCAAAATTACCAAGCAGCAAGTCGCCGCACTTGAAAGCCGACCTAGACTGGCCTTAAGGAAGCCAGTGGCATGTGGGAAGCAGAGGTGGTGCTACACTTGAAAGATAAGGCTAGGTAACTAGAGTCATGATGGCTTTATCTGTTCCGAAGTCGTCTTGAATGATATCGAGTATTTTCATTACGGTCTGCAGCTTGAAATGATACAGTCTCACTCACTTCTTTTTCATTTAAAACAACATCATCGATGAAGCCGTTCCAGCGTCTCTCCTTTCACAATCAAATCTTTGTCTTGCAGCTCAAACGCGCGCCCAGGTGAAGCACGATGCAAGGTCGCCATAAGGAAGAAATAGCAGCAAGGAGAACTTTCTTCAGTCTCAACTACCTTTCAGGCAGCAAGTTAATAGAGATGGAGTTTTCATCTATATCAAAGCGGCAATTTATTACTAGTCAGCAGAAATTTGCCATCTACGGCCTTGAGTTCAACGCAGCACTACAAGCATCAAGCCGCTCAAGTGAGTAACTAGTCACCAATGATTTAACGTTGAAGGTCAGATGACTTTCTGCATTAACATCCAGAGACAAGGCCTGCATTTCATCTCCTCAACTCTCGCCGATATGGCCTCGTTGCCGGTCGTCTCAATCTCGACCGGTGGGATCCAACGACGGGACAGCCAGGTTTCAAACACCTTGCCGGACAGGGTCTGTCTGACTTCTTTCCTGCGTATGAAATTAAACAATCGCCGATCTTGACTGACATGCCAGATAGAATGCGCATGATAACGGTTCTGGGCCGAGACGCTTTTCCTTTCTGTGAGTTCTGCAGTTCGGGCTATTGTGTAATTGGTTGCCAATATCGCTAATACTGAAGCACAACAGATACCTGCCCGGGGAGATTCGAAACAGCATCTACACACTTGTTCTATCCCTTCCAGAGCCGATTCATCTCATTGACAGTCTGGTCTCTACCGATATACCCTCGAAGCAATTTCCGTTTCGAAGGAAAGGTCTCAGACAATGCTATCTTAGGTGCCGTATTAGCTTATCGATGCTTCGTACTTGCAAAAAAGTGTTGTCTGAAGCACGTGGCATCGCCTACTACCGAACATTCGAATTTTGGGATGAAGAAGCGCTTCTCGTCTGGCTACGCGACATTGGCCCGTACAACAGATCGCATCTCTGCGGGATTATTTTATATGGATTGCGCACTTGCCCAGACACGGCTACCCACAATATTGCGGCGCTGGCAGGCATCAATCCGATTGCATTACCTAAGCACCGAATGTGCTGGAGCAATATTCAAGATTGGGAGAGCCTGTTACTATGCCATCAAGAATTCTCGGCAACCCTTGCCCTGGGACATATTGCGATGCAAATCACTCTGCAATTCCGGCAGGGCCATCTCAATACTGCAAAGAAGCAGCGGTCGGCGAAGAGCGCTAGATAGTAAATCGATAATGTTTGAGTTTCCAGGACTCCACGTCGCGATGGTTACGTTTCGGACCTTCGGAGTTCGTACGTCGTTCGTCGAGGCTCCGTCCGGGTCGAAGTCGGGCGCGCTAGCAACTGCCAAGGTCAATTCTCAACTGTTTGTAAACAAGACTTGTAGAAAAGGGCCGCAAGGTCCTTTAAATGTAGCCTTTTCGATGGACGAAAGTCAAGAAGAAATGACGTTAAGTCCGACATCGTCAAAGGTTTGGATGTCAGCTGCAAAATATGCGGTCATGGTTGTTTGGATGGTTTTATCCCGCATCAACGTGTTTGTGAGACGTACTTTCAGCTGAAAGACTGGCGAGAAGAGAGACGATATCAGTAAATGTCCTACGTTGCAAGTTGTTGCATCTCGATTAGCTAAGTGTCAGTTGTGAAGGGATGATGGAGAACAACCGCTAAAGATTAGATAACCAGAACGCCTTGCAGATCCGACACGACTCATTACGACGCTGCGAAACTGTGTCAGGTATAAACAGCAAGAGAGCCTGATTATCAAGATGAAAGAAATCTCAAACCCGAGAAAAACGTGGCCGAGACTAGAGAAACCGAAGGTCCTCCCGGCCTCAGAACGCAATAAGCATTTCGCTAGCGCCCATGCACCTCGCTTTCCCGTCTCCACATCATGGCAAGGCGCATTTCTCAATGGCGCCAGAGGGCAGATTCCCGAAGCGCGTCTCGAAGCCTGAAGGCCCGTAATCCCCGTCAGCGATTCCCACACCCGGGAACCAGAACCTCGTCCGGACTCCAAAGCATGGAAAGGGGGAGGCGGCGGCGGCGGCGGCGCTGAGAGCCCTGTTTATGGGGTTTCGGGGAGTTGCGATGACAAGTGTCAAGCCTCCTTGGCGCGAACCGCCCAGCCCACTGGTTTGAGGCTTCTATGGAGACGACAGAAGCTTGGAGGGGAGAAGAAAGAGGCGAAGGCCCAAGGTCTCGAAGCAGCAGAGACATGGATAACTTTATTGGGTGGATACGCGTATGCTTAGGCCATAAGGTTGTTGGTGCTCCGATTCTCTAGTGCCGGTTTTCTTCGTGGCTTTGTCAGAGAAGAAGTGGGAAACCGAGACCGAAGTGCCGTTCGCCCTAGGGGGCCGGGGCTGTGCTACTTTTATCTTTTCCCCCAATCCAAGTTCCCCAGCGACAATAGTAAGGTATAGTAGTAAGTAAATACGTGTAATCTGCGGTGTCTGACTGCACAGCAAAGAAAAAAAAAAAGTGTCCGCACCCATGAACCGAGACCGAAGGCATTCTCACACAATGCGCAGCGTGCGGCTGTGTTGAGGTAGGCCCGACACTATGGGAATGAGTATCGAAATTTCTTTCAGGATACGGCCAATACGTGTAAATGCGAGGTGCAGCAGAGTGCGAGATGTTTGTATATAGATTGACTGTAATCCGGATGTTGTTGCCGTCTTCCTTCCAATACAATACAATACAATACAACCAACACAATCATTATCACCATCACCACCACACAAACAATCTCTCGGTCTTGACTCAGATTACTCCTCATCAAGGACAGTTCGAACCAATACCAACTTCAGTCCTCCTCCCAAACATTCGCAATGGGCCTCTTCGACTCCAAGCTTAAGTTCCCCATCCATATGGTCCAGCTTGCCCTGGTCATCGCAGCTCTTAGTCTCTCAGTGGCACGCATCTTCCTCCCCAACCGCCCCAGGGGTAGATCCGGTACCATGGCTCTCGGCATGGTAAGTCTTAAGCTTCTTTTACCCCACAGACCAAGCAACCAGCTAACCAAACTTTTTCAACCCCAGGCCGCAAAGTCTCTCATTATCATCGCATACCAAGTCCTTACCGAGCACGTCTCCTCCTTCAAGCGATGGGCCAGCCTGAAAGCCAACCTCATCCTCAACGGCATGGAAGTCGTCTTCTGGGCCGCGGTCGCCTACATGGGCATCCAGGGCAACACACAACAATCCTGCGTGGGCGTCAGCTGCACCATCGGCTGGATCGTCGTGGTGATGGGTATCCTCCTCAGCATCGTCGCCGGCTATGCAACCATCATCGCCTGGCTTGACTTCCGCTACTTCAAGGCCAACGGCGTCCGCCGCGGATCCATGAAGCAGACCGCCCTCGGCAGCAGCAGCGACAGCGAGGCCGGCCAGTCCGCCGAGCGCATCGAGATCCAGCAGCAGAGCAAGCCCCAGACGGCCTCCCCTGCTCCTCGTCCCGCCGTCGCCCCCGTGCACTTCAACAACAGCCAGCAGAGCAACCAGTACGACGCGCCTCCTTACGGCCAGCACTATGCTCAGCAGTACCAGCAGCAGTACCAGCAACAATATCAGCAGCAGCACCCTCAACAATACCAGCAGAGCCAGCAATACCACAACCAGTACCACAACCAGTACCAGTACCAGCAGAGGCAATGAGGTGGAAGAGAGGCGGACTTTTGAATTAAGAGGACTTTCTGAGCGATTCAGCATACCCAGCGGGGCGAATTGGGATGGAAATACAGGTTTCGTTTGTTTTTTGGTTCTTTACAAGCGAGTATGATGCAAAGAGACCGAGCCGGTCTGCACAGCCAAGGGATAATGGCGTTCAAGTTAGATGGGGACTATGGGACTTTAGACCAGAGCATCTGGCTTCTTCTTTGTAAAAGCCCTCGGGGCATAGAGAGCGCCTCTGCAAAAGCATGATGGCGAAAGAATCGATTTAAGTTTGAAAGCATTCTTTGACAACCACGAACCGTGACTCAATGACGAAACGATAGCGACAACAGTGATGTATTTACTCACGGGGAACAACACTAAGGTACTTTGAAATAACGTGACAAAGAAAGGGGTAAGTCATTACAAGGTAAACAGCTGCTGCAGAACAGAAGATGGAGGAGAAAGGGAAATCCAATTCCAGAATCGTTCTTTCCATTGTAGCAAATTACAGTCATTACTTTGAATGCTTGATTCTAGAGCCGTCTGGACGTCCGGACGTCCGAACAAGAAGTTAGAGATCTTGTCTCCAAAAGGAATCACCGACGAGGGTGCCGCTTGGCTCTGCTGTCTCCTCAAAGGCCTACGGCTGTATGAACGAGGAGCCCACGATTGGTCATCTAAATCTCCATAACCCGACGACTTGCGCCTGTACGACGGATGGTCCCGAATCACCTTCCTGAGCTCCGCCCTGGTCAAGTTCGGCCCCTCCAGCACTTGGCGCCACAGCTTGGCATCGGACCTGCCGCCAGGGTGACTCCTACCTCTCTTAATGATCTCTCGCAGGGGTAGAGATCGTAGCTCGGCCGGTATCATATCACTCACCTGGCTCACGTCTACCTCAGACCCCTCCGGTCGATATCCAGCATCGTAGAATAGGCCAGCTAGTTCGGGATACGCATCTGTAAAATCATACCAAAAGACGGGATTGCTGATGGCGGGTGCGTCATGCGCATTGAGCATTTGCTCTGGAATTCCGTCTTCGATGATACTTTGCAAGAGCCAAACCAGGTCTACTGCAAGCTCATCCAGGAATCCTTCTTCCTCTATATGCCTGTCCACAACGTATGAAAGCGCAATCTCGTTAACAAGAGCCGGCATGGTCAAGATGGTTGTGGGAGAGGAGTCATCCCCAAAGCAGAGACTTACAGTCGGCAGCGTCTCAAAGCTACGCTCAAACGCCATGGTCCTCATTTTGACGGGCCACACCTGCCCTTCTTCGTCGGAGACGCCAAGAGTGTCCGGTTCGCCGGGGTAATTGAGCATGCCGCTGGTAGCAGCCGCCCACGCTTTCATGACCTCTTGGGCGTAGGCCGGGCAGATGATTGTAACGTGGGACGGGGAGCGAGTGCCATGGCCGTATGCTATCAGCGCTGCGTCGCCGCAAACAGCATACTGTACATGTGAGAAGGTGCTTCCAAGACGGTGGAGAACTTGGTGAGTTGATGCAGGACTTATGTCGGGTCTTGGGAGCGAGGAGCTGGGCGCATGCAGATACGACTCTGCCGGAGACTCTGGGGCTGCGTTGGCTCCAGAGCCATGCGGTTTACTTGGTGTGTTATATCGCAGTGATTGACTCTCACTTTGTCCAGACGTTTGCGAGAGAGAAGAGGTCATGCTCCTAGCAAGACCGCGACAGCGGCTTGATAGACGTTTCAAGGATTCGACGACGGGGAACCGACTTTGATGCTGACGGGATGCCGTATCTGTCAAACCTGGTGGACTTTCAAGGGGAAAGTCGAAAAGACCTGTCGTAGAAGCTGTCCGCTGTGTGCGGTTTCTCGAGAAGCGGAGGCGGATCGACACGGGAAATCGGACAGTATACCTCAAATGAGAACTCTTGTCGGTTTGCCGAGACTTCATGCCGTGAAGATACAATACACGGAGGCAAGGAAATGATGTTTTCAGGTGGTAGGAAACGGGTAAGCTTGATAATAGGTCCTCTTGATTTGCCTCTAGCTGGAGCTCAGGAAGAGATGAAGCTAAGCTCTTATGTAGATGTACAGGAATGGCCCCGAAGTGTCAAACCTCCGCGAACAAGTTGTTGTTTAGTGGGCGACAATGGGATTGAGACTCGTATCTGTGTTTCTCGGATGTTCTGGGACTGTAAGAGAACAACGTGACTTCGCATGCGCTTCGCCTCTGAGCACAACGGGATGCTTTGAGCTTCATGGGTCTAGAAGCAACAAAGGGATCATTCTTACATTGCCTGGTGTGACTAAAATAGATACATTGTCAATGGCGCCTAGCGCAGGGCTTTGTGGGTGGGGGGGGGGGGGGATTCGACACTAGGAAAGCCGTCCGGTCAATACCTCATTCATGTCATGGGCCAAAACATTGAGTTCATAGTCGTCTTATGCCTGGCGGGCCCTCTAGATGTTGGGTTCCCGTCCACCTAAACGCCTAATCGTACAGTGCTGGCAAAGTCCTTGTATCCCGCCCTAGACCGTCCCTAAACCATGGCCCTTAACCCCCTCACAACTCCTCTTCCACATCCATCGAGTCACCGTTCGATTGATCCTTGCCACCCGCCGGTCCGTCCTTCTTAGGCATCGTCGCTTCCTTGTCGATCATCTGTCTCGAGACGGACACAATGTTGTCCTCGATCAGCTGCTGGCCGACGTCCTCCAAATGCTTCTTGGGGTCGAGCTTGCCGACATAGCGGGTCTTGAGCTGGTCCTTTGTCAATTCGGTTTCTTCCTTGACGCGCTTCTCATAGCCTTCCGCAAGGCTGACAAGGCGCTCCAAGCGCTCCTTGTTGCAGTCGCCCTCGTGTCTGAAGTCGTTCATCTCCAATGCCTCGGTCCAAACGTGCTTGTGCAGGTTCATGAGCATGTTCTCCTCGAGCGCCGTCTTTCGGTAGTTGATGCCGATGGAGTAGTAGTGTCTGTTCAGGCCGTGGATGAGGGCCTGGATTGAGGGTTTGTTGAGGTGGCCCAAGTTACTCGTGCTTTGCCGGGGCTCTTGACCAAGCATAAGGGACTGAGGGTTGATCAGGCGGAAGGCGTCAATGACAACCTTGCCCTTGACGGACTGAATGGGGTCGACGACCACGGCGACAGCACGCGGGGTAAGCTGCTCGAAGGACTGCTGGGTGTTGATATCGACGGATGAAAGCCAGCATCCGAAACCAGGATGGGAATGGTACCATCCAACGACGGCCTCAGGTCTGTTTGCAACATGTTTGTCAGTACATGCGACTGCGATATGGCCAGGGTAGGGATGGCGGGGTCCGAACTCACCTTCCGGTTTGTCTCAACATGTCCATCATCTTCATCTGGAAAACAGGGTCGACCGCCTCTACACTAACGCCGGTACCACTTTGGGGCATGGCGAAAACATCCACCACGCGTACCGTGAAGTCGTCGACGAACTCTCCCAGCATCAGACCCATCACTTCCATGGGAACACCAGCGCGGCCGTGTCGCAGCATCTTGAGGAGGGCAAGGGAGGAGATGTAGACGGTCTCGGAGTTGTCGATAAGCTGTGTGTTATCCTGCAAAACCGCGTAAGTATGTCGTTGCAAGGGCCTGGACAATCGGAGCTGTCAAGGCAGCTCGACAAGGCGCGGGATGCTCTTACCGTTCCGGGTTGGCTGCCCAGGCCACCGAGGCCCTGGGACTGGAGCATGTTCCTAAAGCGCTCCATTGTGATGCTGTAAACGTTACTGAAGATGTGAGGATGAAGTGTTGAGCTGGCGTCGTCGAAATGCTGTCGCGGGCGGCGGTTTTCGTGGCGATTTGGAGGGGCGTAGGTTGGGGTGATGGAGGCGGATGGAAGCAGCTGGGTCGTGGAGTTGAGTGGTGTTGACGACAGCTCTGAGCAGCCTGGCGAAAATGGTCCCGGCGGCGGAGCTAGCCTGGTCCGGTACGTACTGCCCGTGCCTGGCTGACAAACAGTCACGTGCTTGACTTTTGGAGCTGTATCAGTGCGGGAAGGAGCTCACCGCAAAAGATAGGTATATCCAGCTTAGTCTCATTCTGTCTCTTATTGAATTGTATTCAAAAACCCGAGCTAATATTGGCCAACAGCAACCCGAACTTTCCTTTCCAGCCTTGAAGCCTGAAAATCTGTTGTTGGACGACAGTTTGAGATGTTGAGGTGTGAGTGGTCAAGCCACATATAGTGCCGCATTCGGCTAGACTGGTATGCCGGAGCTCACCAGCCACACTGTCGGGTCATCCCCTCCACTGCGTTCAGCTGAGGATGAATCCATCATCTACCTTACCCTTCACCAGCCTCCTCGTTCGGCCGACTTCTCTTGCTGAAGACTTCGTGTTTGGTAAGGATCGCACTGGAAACGATTAGAATAATGCTCGGAACTCATCGATGCTATTCTTGACCGATGGCAATCCTTGGAACTGCTCCTCACGCAATTGACGAGTCGACGTCACTAACCCCCCCCGGCAAAGATGGTTACGCCCCATAGCATCCACTCAACTAAACACCTTGTTGCTACTCTATTTCAAGTCAAATATGCATATATGCCGCCTTTACTAAGACCATCATCAATTACAGTCACATTATCCTCGGCGCTGAGTGAAAGACAACATTTGCGATATGTCAACGCCCACTGCCAACTGCACGGCCTCCTGACTCGATCTGGTAGCGGCTCAGCGATTGTTATGATTCAATGCCCGGCTTGCGGAGGATATCCATGTTAGCCTCCAGTTCACCATCTTCCCACAACACAGCGCGACATCGGTTTTGAATCCTAGATGGTCTTAAGGGACGAGAATGCCCGGAAACCGAGCAACCCATCATGCCGATTTTGAGTTCCGTGATTTCAAACAAACAGCTAGTCCGTCTGAAGAAAACAATAGACGATGCTAAACGTATCCGGAAAGACTGTCTAGATCGACATGGTGGGGGAAGCTCAAAGCCTCGAGGGCTGCAGGGAACGAAACGTCTGGAAAAGTGTGCCCTCACTGGAGGCAAGATCATAGGCGCGACGGTCCCGAACATCGAGCCGCGGCGGTCGGATCTCCTGCGCCGAATCTGCAGAGAAGAACAACCGGGATGGGTGGGAAAGGATGGTGATCCTCATCGCCGAGCCAAGAAGATATCGCTCTAAGCACCACGCAGCGATGTCACCTTGGAGATGCCAACTCGAACTTTGAGGAAAGACACACCTTGTGATTCGTGTCCTCGCTTCCTATTGAAGACATCCTATGGTCCTGCGACCAGAGCATTTCACGACGTCACTGCGCTTCGGGAACGCAGCGCAGCATCGCGAGATTTACGCTTTACAAATTACGATGGCCGCGGAATAGGGCGAGTCATGGCGAACTCAAAGCTTACGCCCATTCCAGGTGTACTCGTCGCTCCGTGATCCTGGCACACGCGACAAATCTGCTCCTAGCTCCAACTCAATCATGGGCGCTCCTCGTGCGATGTACGATTGAGATTGGTGTGCCCTGGTCCCGGGATTGTCAACACTTGACCTTGCCTTGCTTCTACGTTCCCATGCCATTCCCACCTATAGTCTAATTTGCTACAACACCAAATCCCAACGTGAATGGTGCCTCGCGGTCTCGAGCAGCGACTCCACGCACCAGTAGATCATGATCTAAGATCTGTTTCTCGCGGTTTTCAATGTCGAACTTCACAGGGAGCACGTAGCAACCTTCGAGCACCGGCCGACAACATCTCTCCCAGTATAGCTCCTTGGTCACCACATCGCCCGTCCGAGCTCTGTTGGGGAAGAGGCAAGATTGAGACGCAGGACGATGGACTCGATAACCGTAGACGATGAACAGGCAGCGACCCTAGATATCCCCCCGGTGGATCCGACCGAAACGCGACAACCTCTCGTAATCGGCGTGACAGTCACGGCGCTATTTCTCTCGACTCTTGTCACGGCCCTCAGGGTCTACGTCCGCGCTTGCCTGCTGAGGAAATGGGGCTGGGATGATTCGGCGTTGGTAGCATCTTCTGTGCGTTTGCAACCCTGGACTGGCCTCAAAGTCGACCACTGAGTGCTGACTACTCGAAACCAAGATTCTCGTCTTCATTGTTGGACTTTTGATGCTCATAAGTAGGTTGCCTCGATAAGGTATGAGGTGAAAGGTATCTTGCTGATTAGTTGGGCGACACAGATACCCACTTTGGCGATGGTTTACATCAGGCTACGTTACCCAGGGACAAGTTTCTCAAATCTCAAGAGGTAGTCCCAGCACAGTTGAAAGCAATGACAAGATTGACAAAACTCACAAGATGTACAGATTGCAATCACGGCTGTCGCCATCTACCAAGTCGTGCGTTTCTCGAGATCAATCCTATGATGGCAGCACAAGCTGACTACCTAAACAGGCCTATCCATTGATCAAATCAACCTTTCTTCTTCAGTACCGGCGCGTCTTTCCATTACCGGCCTTTCAAAAGTTATGTAATATCTTCTTGATCTTTATTATCGCCTTTGGGGTATCGCAGGTGATTTCAATCTGCCTGGCCTGTATCCCACTCAAGAGCCTCTGGGACCACACAATACCCGGCCGATGCATAAATCTTTTCGACTGGTGGATCATCGGGTCGTCGATCAACCTCTTCACCGACATCGTCATCTTCCTCATGCCAGTGCCGCTGCTGCGAACAATCCGCCTACCGATGAGGCAGAA